TCTCTGGGCAACCTGTTCCACTGCCTCACCACCCTCTGAGTGAAAAATTTCTTTCTTATATCTAAGTTCTTCACTTCAGACAGTGAGAAAGATTATCTCCTGCCTTTCAAGTCAAGTCTTAGATGGGAGGATCCAAGCAGGATATCACATAGCAGTGTAATTTTATAACTTTTTTATATAATTTTATAACTTATTTATAACTTCTATATATAATTTTATATTTATAACACTGCAATAACGATCATGTCCCACTACATCTCCAGGAATGTAACACAGTTACAAGATGCTCGTGCCTTTTTAACCGACTCTTGTCTATCAGTACAGTATTACAAATACAGGCCTTATAGCACCACCGGGTACTTTTCTGCCTACCTGTTTGCTCAGCTTCTTTCCAGCTTTCCTGTTCTTCTGGCAGAGACAATACTAGAAATTCAAACACTGATGCATTTCTGTAGCCAGACCTTTTGTGTTATTGTGTAATGAGTGAATACAGATGCTTTCAGTTTCTTGGTGTCTACCTATCTAATAGATATTAATTGTCTAATAGACATGGTTGTTAAAAAGCCAGATATATCAGGAGTCGCAAAGCACAAACACGATTTTAAGAGGTTTCTGTTTGAACGGAGGCCCTGGGCTGTATTGCTTTCTGTTTCAGGGAAGAACGATGAAATCGTGCCTCCAGCTGTGGCCATCTTTTCCCCATCAAAGCAAGAGATCCAACAGAAGAGCAAGGCCACACTAGTATGCCTGGCTTCTGGTTTCTACCCTGACCACCTGAAACTCATCTGGAAGGTGAACGGTGCTGAGAGGACAAAAGGGGTGGGGACAGATGAGTTTTCTACATGGAATGGGAGTACCTACTCATTGACCAGCCGACTGAGGATCTCAGCCCAGGAATGGTTCAACCCTTTGAATCGTTTTGAGTGTGTCGCCGATTTTTTTAAGAATGGAACGCTGGAATCCATACACAAATTAATCTACGGTGATGCTGGTGAGCAAAAAAATGTATATCGCCATGTGATACAAACTAGAAATTGCAAATCAAAAGGGTGTGGGTTATGATGTGAAATACATCTATATGCAACTTCAGTACCAGGTGTCGTTATGGCACAAATTTGTATGTAAATATGTAGGTATTTGCATAAGACTCTTCATATTACTGGGCCTCTATATCTACATTATCATTATACATCTATACTTTTTCAAAGGTTTCTTCGGATTTTCACTGAGAAATCTCTGTAGTATAGTAAAATATATAGTATAATAAAATATATAGTATAGTAAAATGAATAGGCAGTGTATTGTAAACTGAAACTTCTCAAATTTGTGTTCCATTTGTGTTGAAGAGAAACGTGACTTTCAGTTCATTTTTGTATTTCAGGATGTGCACTCACAGAAGGTATGTGTGTCTTCTCCCAGGTAATTATCTGTATGTATTTTAATTCCAGTTTTACTGACACTAAGTATAAGATGTGTGAGATTTCTACTACGAGAATAACATACTTCCTCATCTAAGTGGTTTCTTTGTTAGATTAAAAAAAAAAAACAAACAACTGTGGGAGGGTTATATGTGCATGCTGTGTGTTGCTGTGTTTTGGTTTTTTAGCTCTTCTTTATAATTCCCTTTCAAAATAACAGAAGAAATCGTGGAACCATCCTATAGAGTGTCACTTGCTCTTTTTATCGTCTCCTCCAGTCCTTAACGCAGCCTTCTGTTGGGAAGCTGCTTGCTCAGCCATGAAAGAAAAAATTCATATTTTTAGCCAAGTGATTATGACATCAAGATTCAGAATCTGCAATGCTGAATATTTCTTAGTATCAAATTCAGAATACTTCTCATTACAAGTCACATTCCCTTCCAAATTGCAAGGATACCCATATGAAAAATAATGTTTCTTTTCTCTATGTATACATATTTACACACTCTTATTTTTCACCAACTTCTTTAATGCTTCAGGAATCTTAAGGCTGAACCAAGGTCAGATCATAGAATCACAGAATGGTTAGGGCTGAAAGGGACCTTCAAAGGTCATCTAGTCCAACCCCCCGGCAAGGAACAGGGATATCTCCAACTAGATCAGGTTGCTCAGGGCCTCGTCCAACCTGGCCTTGAATGTCTCCAGGGATGGAGCATCCACCACCTCTCTGGGCAACCTGTTCCAGTGTTCTACAACTCTCATGGTAAAACATTTTTTCCTAATATCCAATCTGAATCTACCTCCCTCTATTTTAAAACCATTACCCCTTGTCCTATCACAACTGGCCCTCCTGAACAGCCTCTCCCCATCTTTCCTGTAGGCCCCCTTGAGGTACTGGAAGACCGCTAGAAGGTCACCCCTTAGTGAGATCGGTGTCTCAATACTACTGCAACTCCTTAAGAGTGAAAAATCTGTAAAAGTTCCAGATAACATGTTGTTCTGGGCTATGTAAAACTTTCATGATATATCAGCAGCGCTCACAAGGCCACTGAAAATAATGAGGGGAAAAAAAAATTGTATCTTGTGATTCAGCTTAATTTGAATTCCTAAGAGGGGATTCACATGAACAGCCTAGTTTTTCAGTAGATGTGGCAACACAATGGTTAAACACTCCCAGTCAGGACATACTTTCTTAGCATAAGGCCAATTTCTGTCTTTCCTAGACTTGCTTTCTCTTTGGGTTCTTTGCCTCAGAGTGTTCTTTGCAATCCCCTGTTATCTCGTGTCAGCAGAGCTATTCGTTTGGCTCTCGTTCCTTTGTGTCGCTTAGCTAAAGATGTCAAAGGTTCTTATTTGATTAAAGCTGCATTAAACCTAGTCTCTCACGATGATGACAATTCAATAGACAAGTGATGTTTGATTTGCAGGGTCCTACTTGAGGAATGGAAATTCTCTGAAGCTCACTTACCTCATTCTCTGTGGCAAAGCTTTGCTTTACGCAGTTTTGGTGAGCCGTCTGGTGTGGACAGCCAAGGTAGGCTAGTGTGCCACTTGCAGGTTGGACTTACTAGTACGAGGATCAGTGGATACAGATGAAATCTATTCTCAGCTGTGAGGTTGTTCTCCATGTGCTCTGTTGGGCTTTGTGCAGGATAGTGTGAAAAATCCCAAGTGATGAGTTTTCTGTGATCGTTTTTCCAGAACTCAGATAAAATCAATGCTATCTAGCAGAGCAATTCCTTCTCAAAATACTCTTTAAACACATGGAAAAAATGAGAATTAAGGACAACTTCTCCAGAAAGTAAAGAAGGAAAATGTGAAATGTATCATACTTTCCTGTAAGCATTGAAAAGAGACTCGTGTCTGCAGTGAAAGTAATAAACAGCAGTTTCGAGAAGGTACATGAGATAAATCTGAACAAAGAATTACAATGGATTACAAAGAACAATGGGACAAATCTGAACAAATAGGAGAAGTTCAACTAACTACCAGGAAATCCTTTTTGTGAGTAAGTTCTCACACAGCTGAAAGATGCTCCCTGGAAGCCTCAGCATTTGTTCCTTTAAAAGCAGGACTGGGAGATGTATTTGAAAAGTGACCTGGTAGAGTTGAAGGTGTGAACACAAGGTCAATTATGATTTCGTGTCCTTTTTCGAGGGTACCAGAGGGAACAGGTTTGTACTTTAGTGGAACACGATCATAGAGTCACAGAATGGTTTCAGTCAGAAGGGACCTTTAAATATCATCTGGCCCAACACCCCTGCCATGAGCAGGGATGTCTTCCACTAGATCACACTGCTCAAAGCCCCATCCAACCTGACTTTGAATACTTCCAGTGATGGGGAATCCACAACTTCTCTGGGCAACCTGTTCCATTGTTTCACCACTGTCATTGTGAAAAATTTCTTCTTTATATTTAATCTAAAGCTATGTATTGGTTTAAAAACTTTGCCCCTAGTCTTGTCACTACAGGTCTAGGTAAAAAGTCTATCTCTACCTTTCTTATAAGCCCACTTGTATTTTTGAAAGGCCATAGGAAGGTCACCTCAGAGGCTTTTCTTCTCCAGGCTGAGCAACCCCAACTCTCTCAGCCTTTCTTCATAGGAGAGGTGTTTCAGCCCTCTGATCATTTTGGTGGACCTCTTCTGGATCCTCTCTAACAGCTCCGTGTCTTTCTTGCACTGGTGTCCCCAGAACTGGATGCAGTACTCCAGGTGGGGTCTCACCAATATGGAGTAGAGGAGCAGAATCCCCTCCCTCAACCCGCTGGCCACACTTCTTTTGATGCCACCCAGGATGTGATTGGCTTTCTGGGCTGCAATTGCACACAGTGACTGACATAGAATTTTTCATCCACCAGTATCCCCAAGTCCCTCTCCACAAGGATGCTCTCAATCCATTCATCCCCCAGTCTGTACCGATCCTGGTGATTGCCCCAATCCAGGTACAGGATCTTACACTTGGCCTTGTTGGACTTCATGATGTTCACATAGGCCCACTCCTCAACCCTGTCCAGGTCCCTCTGGATGGCATCTCTCCCCTTAAGCATATTAACTCCACCACTCAGCTAGGTGTCATCTGCAAACTTGATGAGGCTCCACTCAATTTCACTATCAATGACACATAGATGAAGGTATTAAATGGTATTGGTCCCAGTATGGACCCTTGAGGGAAAAGACTCTTTACTGGTTTCCACTTGGACACTGAACCATTAACTGTAAGTCTTTGGGCACGGTCATCCAGCCAATTCCTTACCCATGTAACAGTCTATCCTTTAAATCCAAGAACGTTGTGGAGAACATACCAAACCTTATCAACCTTACAGAAGTCCAGGTTGATGATACCTGTAGTTCTTGTCCACTGATGCAGACACTCCATTATAGAAGACCATCAGATTAGTCCCCTAACACACAAAGTTGTGTGTAAAGATATTAGTTCAGTATGTAAGTAAACAATTTGTAAACTTCCTTGGCACAAAAAGGGGAGAAAGCATGGAGATACTGGGCATTTCTGTTACTGCTCTCAGGAGACACAACAGTTGGGAAACTGATAAATATGGTCTATTATTTCCTAGATTATTGTATTTGTTCCATTGTGGGTTTTTTTTATTTGTTCATTCTGTTTTGTTTTCAATTAGGCTGGTGGCAAGTATAAAGAATAAATAAAGAGTCCTCTTCGTCACATCAGCTGGAACACCGAAAATTATTTCTGCCTTTCCACAGCAAAGGATCTGTGCTCCTGTCTATGCACTTCTGAATGGTGGTTCTCTGTCCCTCTCCTGTTCTTTCCACTTTGTTGTAATTACTGCTGGGTTCTGCCTGTAATTCCATATCATGTTGTACCATATCGTATCGTATAGTATCTTATCTTTAAAGCTAACACTTTCTTAATGCTCAGAGAGTGAGGACCCAGCTCCTTGAATTAGAAATAAAGTTTGAGATTCTTTTCCATTCAAGAAATATGAGTCGTTGCTTTTTAATTTGGTCTTTTGTAGCAATAACGTCCTACAACACAACTTCCAGCGATGTGCAGTGTCATAAGGAGCTCACATTAAAGAACATTCACTGACAATTCTTATAGGAATAGGTTATCTGTTATGAGAACAGTAGAAGGCTCATCCAGTACTTACACTGGGTACCAGCAACTGGAGTGGGGCTGCTGGCTTCAGAGGCTTGCACACTCCAGTACCAGCGACTGGAAGAGTGAGCACCCAGGGCCAGCTAGCAAGCAGACTGCACGTCTAAGGCCAGTTTCTGAGACACCCGTAGTGTGCAAGCGCAGATCCCAGTGTGCATGTGGGTGTGTGAGGCAACTGGAGGACTGAGGAGTTCAGGGCCAGTTGCTGGGTAGACTGTCTAAGGCCAGTTCCTGGGATCCAGCGTGTGTGTGTGTGTATGCATGTGTGCACAAAAGAGTGCATGAGGGTTTGCACTCATAGAATCACAGAACGGTTTGGGTTGGAAGGGACCTCAAAGATCATCTAGTTCCAACCCCCCTGCCATGGGCAGGGACACCCCTCACTCCACCAGGTTGCTCAAAGCCTCATCCAACCTGGCCTTGAACACTTCCAGGGATGGGGCAGCCACAGCTTCTCTGGGCAACCTGTGCCAGTGCCTCACCACCCTCAGAGGGAAGAATTTCTTCTTTAGATCTAATCAAAATCTCCCCTCTTTCAGTTTAAAGCCATCACCCCTTGTCTTATCACTACATGCCCTTGTAAAAAGTCCCTCTTCCCAGCACGGAGGGAATCACTTCCCATCACTTCCCTCTTTTGTGAGTGAGAGGGTCTGTGCTGGGAAGTGGAGTGGGGCTGCAGACCTCAGGACCTCATACATTCAAGTCTATTAGTGTCATATGTGTTTGCACGAGTGTTTCTGTCTGTGTTGGTTCGTGTGGCTGGCTGTGTGTACATGCACATTCCTACTGTGTACGTGTCTGTACACATACTGAGCACACTCAGCCTTCCTGGTGGGTGGACCAGGAGAAAGGGAGCTGTAGCAGCCTCACCATGATTGGGCTGTTGGATTCAGTAACCTCAAATAAACCAGTTAGAGCTTAAGTTTCACTTCTAGCCATCAGAGTATGTAGAACATGGGCCAACCCACCCCTACTGCACAGCAATGTTTAGATGAACAGTGGTACATTTTGTCAGGATTAGGAAAAGTAGACTACTCATGTTTCATCCCAACCTTGTCAATACTTTTTGTGTCATGCAGTTCAGAATCTGCAAAGATGGGTCCAATCTTAGGCTAAATGAAGAAGAGAAAAACGGGGGTGGAGGACAGAAGGGGCAATACTGTGTTTTTACAGTTACAACTTTACTGGGTGCAGAGGAAGGAGAAAAAATAGAAGTCTTTAGTCTTTTTTGGTATTGCCTGCAATATCGTGCAGGAGTATGCCCAGCAAGAACAGGTGGACAAAACATAGAGAATCTTCTCCTCCTAATAACCCACAAGTCATACACATAAAAAAAATCTTTTTGTCCTGTAATGAAATCCTGGCAGCATTCCTGTCTGTCTTCACCTGGGAAGGTTTCTAGTCTAGACTTCATTGCAGATTGAAATCCATTTTGCTCAGTCCATCACCGTTCTATATATATTTCCACCATTACAGGACAGTCTCAAGCAGGACATCCTCTGAGCAAAAATCAGCAGGTGTATGGTCATTAATGATCAGCCACGTGCCAGCTGTATTGCTTCATGCAATGTTTTTCTTCTTCTGCACGTGACCTTGGAAGATTCTGTCTGGTTGAAGGATGAGGAGAAATTAATACAATAAGAAAAAAAAATAGTAATTTCAACATGTTTACAAACACTCTTCTTGCTAGGAGAAAGCACCATGTCAGGCAAGTGACTTCTAGGCAGGAGGCTACGAGGTCTACTATATCTACCCTCCTACTTCCATATTATCCTTTTGACAACACACCCAACAGGACAGTCCTTGAGATGTTGTCCAGGCTAGTTTCCAGTTTACTGTGAAACAGTATTTACACTGCTTCTTGTTGGGAAGTGGACTCTGCCATCCACTTCTTTATTCCTGCAACATATCCTGTGAGCATCAGTCCCTGGGATTGTCTCCCAGGACGACACACCTCCTTCCTGGATTTTTCACACATTCATAGTGCTCCCTCACATTTTTGTTGTGGGGAGGGGTATATTTTGAGATAGTGTCTGCAGTATCGTGGTACATATTCAGCAGTTTGGTCCTGGGACCCAGGTAACAACACCAGGTAAGGAAAAGCAGCTTACAGTTTTAACAAATACATGACACTGGAATATTTTTTTGAAGACAAAAAGAAATTGTTTGTATGAAAATGAGGCAAGAAGGAAGTCAGAGGAAATAGATGCAGGATGAAGGAGTTCCAGAAACTCAACTTTTCTTTAGCACAGCTCAGTGATGCAGAAAGGGGAGAAATTCACTGTTTCTGCTTTTACTTACAGAAGATATCTCAGACTGAATTCTGAAGCTAAGGCTGGGAACAGGACGCAGAGAGAGATGGAAAGAGCTCCTTTCTAGATAGGCTGGATTCTCTACAGGCATGCCTCTTTGGGCAATATACCATCTGTTTCAGCATATTCTTCTGCAAAAGCACAGTACTTCCTAACACAGATCAGAGCACAAAGTCCCCTCTGTGACCTCATGAAAGGTAGGATACAGCATGGTATCATACAGGCTTTACGTGCAGTTGAGAGCTTCTAGTGGCACACAACTCTGACACTTCTTCAAAATATTGTGCAAACTCACCACCGTACTTTGAATAGGGCACCCATCTGACAGTGCTTGGTAAAAGTTAGGTATTTTTGTTTCTTACTGCAGAATATTAATTCATCACAGAATAAAATGCTGACACAACCAATAAAATGTGCTAAAGGGTTGATTTAGGAGGCAGGATTAAAATGATTTTTTATCTTGGCAAGGGCAGCTTAGACTAATTGTTAAATCCATGTCTACTGATGTAAAGGAGGAAAAGAACTCTCTAATACTAAGTATTTTTATAAATTAAATGTTTATCTGGATTCAGCGTGAGAACAGAAAAGTAGGACAAAACTATAAAGGATTCTTCAATTTTACTATGATCCCTGAACTTAATTAAAAGCATTGGAGATAAAAGAAAAAATTTTAGGAAAGTAGCCACTACGTGCTTTCATTAGTCTCACAGTTTTTGCTTGGCATTCACTCTTCGTGTTGTGTTAGTCCAGCAGAACCTTTCAGTATGACCAACATAATTATTCCAATACGTTTTGCATTCTTATTTAAAATAAGTACAGCAAAATCAGGAAGGGGCAAAACTTCAGAACATACTCCATTTTATTCGCCTGCTTGACTGGTGAGGAGCTCTCTTCCAGTTCTGGTATCTGTCATCTAAGCAAATCCTCACACACCTGCTCATAAAAAAATGAGCTGATTTCCAGCCAAAGTAGATGCAGAATTCAAGGGTGGTAGAGATGGGAACAAAACACCAACCAGATGAGAAGTGGCACCTTTTCAGGATAGGCATGGCAGCTGCTTTTTCTCTCACTGTGTTCTTACTCAAGATTAGCTTGGTGATGGCACCAGGCTTATTGTGGCAGTGGAGAAAAATTGGTAAATAAAGTCTCCTGTCAGTTAATGCATTTGTTTGTTTGAAAAGGACATGATGACAGTTTTGAGGGGAACTTGGCATATCTTTTTGAATGTCGTTACCAGAAAAAAAGTATATCTTAGTGCTATGGGTACAATCCCATAAAACAGAGTAATATTTCCTGTTCTGTGCTTGTCACTTCTTTAATCTCCTCCAAACACTTCAGAATATGAGAAAATATCATGTTGAGCAAAGATATTTATTTGGTGTCCTGATTACAATTATTACTTATGTAGTCTCACGGATGTTCCAAAGAAAAAGGAGAACTGTTTTCTGAGAGGCTTTTTTTTTTTTTTTTTTTTTTTCACAAAAATGCCTTTATGGGTCTCAAATTCACAAGGCAAGCAGCTTTTGATGTCCTCAACTAACAATGTAATGTCCCTCAATAACTCACATATAATCTTAGCATTTACTTTCCCACTGAGGGAGGGAATTCGAGTTGATTTCTCCTTTACAAATTCAGACAACACAGAGTAGCAATCTGCCATGAGTCTAGCTGCTAGAACTCAATGTTTCAGCATAAAAACATCACTTAGAGCAGTAGACCTACCTATAGCATAAAGATGTGTGTTAATACTCTAGCAAGTCAGTCAGTCTTAGCAAAGTGAAAACACTTCTGCAATACATTATCTCCTTAAATATACTGCAGAATTATTCTAAATTATGTTCCCATGAGAAAGCCTCAAAATCTGGTTTCATTCGTTGCCTCCAACTTATTCTTCAGACCAATTCCTAATCAGTCACACCAACATGAATGTGAAGTCTGATACAATAAATAGTTAAAATGGTATTTCGACTAAGGGCAGCTAAGTTATCACTTATGCAAATGAGTGCTGAACAAGTTCTTCTAACCAGCAACATGAAAAGAAAGTCCTTGTCTAGTGAAGTTTTCTAAAGAAATGTTTGTTTTCTCCGTTGGTTTTTATGCATTGCTTTTTCCCTTACTTTTCAGAAAACTATCAGAGAGGTGCTACATCTGGGAAGTTTGTGTACATCAGGCTCATTTTCAAGACTGTTTTGTATGGGATGTTTGTGATGGGGCTGATGCTTAGGTCCAAGGAGAAGAGCAGAGTTCTACTCTGTACATGTTTGTCCTAACTCATTCTCACTGTACAGGAGATCACTTTGGACAAAATGATGTCTTAAAGTTTATGTTTATATAAATCCACTTCTCTGCAATGATATTGTGTCTCTCATCATTTTCAAGACAACAACCTAGTGAGAATGAAGGGGAAGGTTTTAGACAAAAAGAGGGAAAGAATTCCGGGGGATATTGCACAAAACAATGAATGAAGTACGATCAAAATGTGTGCTTTTTTTTAAAGAAAAAAAATAAAAAGGAAAATTAAGAATATGAAAATGAGCAAAGTAAGAAAGATCAAGAAAAGCAAAGGAGGAAAACAAAAAGGATGCAACTCAAAAAGGGAAGAGAGTCTAATGTGGGGAGGAGGAGGAAGGGGAACCAAGGTGTCGTTCTTTAAAGCTGTGTTTGTGGGCACTATTTCTGCACAGCATAAACTGTAAAACCAAAGGATTACTAATCCTAGAGCGTGTTTCTGGATATCTTTCATCCATTATGCTCTTACCTTATGGCACAAGCCAAAGAATTGGTAATTCCAAGGTAGCTCACTCAGGAGTAAGTGGAGAATAGAGTCATACCTTTTATGTACAGACGTATCCTAAATAGAGGTAGGAATAATGCAGTCCAAGATAGAGGACTGCTTGTGGAGCCTTGGAAGCAGAACATCTGGGAATGCAATAGCAAGGCAGAAGGAGTAGGAGACATAGAGTGGAGACCCTGAAGGGAGCTTCTGTCTAGCATAGCCAGGGTCTTCAACAGAAGGGGGAAATACGTATCTCTGAAGGGCTCAGCAGAAAATGGCACCTCAGAACTGGAGCAGATGATGTGCCAAAAAGTGCTTGAAGATATCTCTTTAAGGGAACAGCAGTTGAACTTCAGCAAAACAGGATGCGGTTTGACATTTACTCAAAAAAAAAAAAAAAAAGTTTTGATCATGTGTCAGCCCCTCTTATCACCCCACCACCCCGACCTCTCAGGATGAGGCACAGGGTGCAGCTCTCCGTTCACCACACCACGGTTGGACAGAAATAGTGACACATATGGGCCTTCTGAAAGCTGGTGGGTTTTTTGTCTCGTGTTATCACACATCCTTCTTGTTACTGAAGTCTGCAGATGGGGTTTGCATGTGCAGCTGCTGTTTCTGTTGTGCAGCATAAAAAAAAAAAAACAAAAAACAACCAGAAAACGAAAGACTTGTGGGTTTTGCAGAGTTGCTGACCTGCTTTTACAAATTAAAAAAACAACCACCATGCTTTTTCTAGGTATCACGAAACAGCAAAGCAAGATGATAAAATTGATACACTTGCAGAAAAATTTTGGTAAGAGGAGACTTCTGGAGGTCTCTCAATCCAAATTGCTCTTCAAAACAGGGCTAACTCCAAAGCCAGACCATGTTGCTCAGGGCTTTGTCCGAGTGATTTCTGAGTATCTTCAAGGACAGAGATTTGACAACGTCGCTGACAAATCTGTTCCAGGGCTAAGCACCCTCAAGAGGAAGTATTTTTTCGTTATGTCTAATCAGATTTGATCTCGCTGCAGCTTGTTTCCACTGGCTTCCACTGTGCCCCTCTAAGACTCCAGCTCTCTTTAGGCAGTTGGGGTCATGCAAACAGCAATCTTTTAGCCTGCTTCTCTCCAAGATGAACAAAAACAACCCCCTCAGCCTCTCCTCTTACCCTTCTGCTACAGTTCCCTGACCATCTTTGTCAGCCCCTGCTGGACTCTCCATTTTGTTGATGTCTCTGTTGCACTGAGGCTGGGGCAGGGTAGCGGTGTGTATGGACAAAAAACCAAAAATGTAGTGAACTTTCATTGCTGAAAGGGCTTGCTGCTTACTCATGTCGGATTGTTTTTCTGCAAAGATGCTCCCTAGCCAGTCATCTGATATTTAAAGGATTTTCACTTGGAGTACTGCGTCCAGTTCTGGAGCCCCCAACATAAGAAGGACATGGACCAGTTGGAGAGGGTCCAGAGGAGGGCCACGAAGATGATAAGAGGGCTGGAGCACCTTTCCTATGAGGACAGGCTGAAAGAGTTGGGGCTGTTCAGCCTGGAGAAGAGGAGGCTCCGGGGGGGCCTTATAGCGGGCTTCCAGTACCTCAAGGGGGCCTACAGGAAAGATGGGGAGAGGCTGTTCAGGAGGGCCAGTTATGATAGGACAAGGGGTAATGGTTTTAAAATAGAGGGAGGTAGGTTCAGGTTGGATATTAGGAAAAAATTTTTTACTATGAGAGTGGTAGAACACTGGAACAGGTTGCCCAGAGAGGTGGTGGATGCTCCATCCCTGGAGACGTTCAAGGCCAGGTTGGACAAGGCCCTGAGCAATCTGATCTAGTTGGAGATATCCCTGTTCCTTGCAGGGGGGTTGGACTAGATGACCTTTGAAGGTCCCTTCCAGCCCTAACCATTCTATGATTCTATGATTCTATGATTCACCTTTTTCCCAGGGGATGTGCCTGTAATTCAGTAACTCCTCTCCCAGTGAAGAAACGCTGTGTAATAATCATAAACTGAAATTTTCCCTTGAAGATCAGTATGTTTATCCTGCATATATGCTAGGATACTCCTTTGCCCTACAGAATTTACAATATAATTTGACGTAATTCCCGTTAGGATAAGCATAATCTCAGAATGTGGATGCTGTGACTAACTATGGAATGTTCCCATTCTACATCCTTTTTTTAAAACTCCCTAAAATCCTCTGACAGGAAACACACTATTATTCTGTGTTTCACAACTAGCAAATAATGTAGGTGACTTTTACACACCACAGGGACTATGCTCAGTGCTTTCTTGCTTTAGGACAAGTTAGGACTATTTGTTGTGTTATCATTGAAGGAACGCTTACACCAAAGAATGTATGATGCTATGACCAATCCCATTGAATCAATGAAAGAGGGGAGATTTAGATTAGATATAAGGAAGAAATTTTTCACTCAGAGGGTGGCGAGGTGTTGGAACAGGTTGTCCAGGGAAGTTGTGGGTGCCCCATCCCTGGAAGTGTTCAAGGCCAGGTTGGATGAGGCTTTGGGCAACCTGGTGTAGTGGAGGGTGTCCCTGACATGGCAGGGGGGTTGGAACTAGAGGATCTTTGAGGTCCCTTCCAACCCAAACCATTCTATGATTCTATGATTAATTACACTATCTGGGAGAATGGTGATGCTGGACAGACACTGGTAGGTCTTTCTGTGTGAGACACAAAACTCTTCATGTCAAACCTAAAATATTCCATCAGAGAGAGATTATGTGGTAAATAAAATTACATTCTTGACCTGCTTGTTCATCCATCCACATTTTTGTCTCCAACATACGCATGCTCTCTGTAGCAGTGTTCATATTAGGGCTTATCTCAAAGTCAGGGAGAACTACAAGACTTTGAACGAGGAATATCACAAAGTTGCCTGAGAGAAAAAAAAAAAAAAAACAAACCCAAAAAACTCAGAACTCATCCCTAGAGAGAAGGAATAAATCAGATTAGTATAGACTGTGTTGCTGCTTATTAAGCCTGAGCGAGGTGTAAGTATGATGCATAAAGAGACAGATGTGACACATAGTGGAATGTGCTTCACTATGTAGCCTGAAGTAAACTGGATAGCCAGAAAAAATGCCGAATAAATGGAAATCTACATGTTATTTTTCTTGAATGTGAATTCATTCTAAGTTGCATACTACTTTGAACTATCTCCCTTTCCTCTTTATATCCTCCACACACATGTAATTTCCAGAATTGTGTCGATGCACTTGCAGACCATGGTAATGGCTGCTCTTTTGTTATCTTCATCCAATCTGTGGCCTATCAGCTCTGTTTAGCTTCTATTCTTACACAAACTTTTGTTCAGGTCCCTTCTCATTACTGTTGGCAATTTTAGTTCTACAGATTTCTTGTGATTAGTGTAACCATCACAAGTACAGTGAAAAGCATCATGGCTTTCCCTTGCTTGATAACATCCAGATACGAATGAGAGTGCACATGCAAGTCAATATCTCTAACGTTATCTCAGACTTAGACATGTGTATATTTGAAGCAATTGTTCTGTGTCAGGTAAGAAAATGGCTTAGGAGACAATAACTTGCAACTCTTTATATTGCAGTTTCCATTTCCTTTATTTTATGTCTGCATTTGGTTAACAATCTCCATTGATTGTTCTGGTGAGATGGAGAATAAATGGCTGATCAGGACAGAGGAGTTCAGCAGTCAACCTCCACTTCAAAGACCTATTCTGCCTCTCTTGTTCCAGCTGCTCGGCAACATCTGGTTTGTGAACATTGACCTACATGCTCTTTTCCTGTGCTGAGAGCGGCTCCCTTCTTGAGGGAAGGTGCTGGAAATGGGTGAAGTTCATGTAAAGAAAGCAAGTGACTTTGAAGGGCTGTGTCCACACTGCTGGCACACAAATACACAGCTGAATGGTTCTTCTTCACAGATAAAATATACAAATGGAAGTCTCTGAGGTTTAACCGCTTAGCTTTGTATCCAACGTGAACATCACCTTCTTGTTCGTGCTTTTCACCAAAGGAATGATAGAGCAATTGCATCCCCTTCTCTGGCTGCTGCACATACCAGTACATAGAACCGTGACCATTATTTTGACTGCATGTCAGAGTGGCTTCCTTATCTTCTCTCACCACAAGACTTGAGCTTTGGGTGATTTCAGCTCCTATAAGGCAAAACAAAGCAAAAAACACAGTAAAACAAGTAAGCTACGTTGTCCCAGCCACAGAGTAGGTATCATGCGGAGCTGCTGATTCCTTACTTGCTCCAAAGAAGCACATGGCCACACACCAAGCTGTCCACATCCACATTTCTGCCTCAGCAGTCAGTGAGCAGGCCCGTGTCAGGGACTCACACAGGTCTGCTTCAGATGTTTCTCCTAAACCAACAGCAGAGATCTCTGTAACAGCTAAATCTATGCTGAAAACCAAGCTGCTTCCTGCAAGAAATTGTAAGCAAACACTTTGTTTGAAGTGTATCTGTTGAAAACACACAGAAAGTTTCGATC